CAACCATGCACAGCATGTTGCAAAGCAGCCCATTAACTTCACCTTCAATATTTGGCATCCTCAGTGCTGAGCCCCTGCAGGAGAAAGAGACCTTCAGTTGTAGAGTTGTGAATCTGCAAACCTGCAGTGGTTCTGCAGTTGCTTCACAAAATCTTGTCGAGACAAAAATTTGTGGCCAGTGTGACAGAAGATAACCAGCAGCAGGAGGCAACACGTGGACATAAAGTGGTGTATGGGGGCAGGCAAGCAGTAAATCTACAATGTGGAAGTGGGGAAAAGAAACCCAAGCAGCAGAGTTTGCAGAGTGCCATTGTGAGGTGTGGGAACAGCTTTTGTGTGAGCAGTGTGAAGCTTTTGTGTGAGCAGTGTGAAACTTTCGGTTCTGCATTGGGCCATCATGAAACCACTTTGCAGAAAGCTTAATGTATGGAAGGGAATTAAAATTGCAAATTTGTTTCTGTTAAGAGAGGCTGTGTTGGAATCCAGGATATGAAGCAGCATACCCATACTCATAGGCAATGTTTTCAGAAGATACTAAAAAATATCCATATTTACTTGTTGCATATTGGTTAATCAAGCTTTTATTAGAAGTGACATGGAAGGAGGCAAATTGTTATCCTTTAAAATAAATACCAGGGATTTTCTCAAACTACATTACAGGAAAGGGAAGTGGCTGGCTACATATGATTTAGAAGTTCCCTGTATGTTATTAGGGTTTTTTTTCTTTTTAAATTTTTTTTTATTTCCCCAGAAGACTCATGACTACATTTTGTAATTATAAGAGTGGGTTATGAAATCAGTAACTGTTCTCTTGAAGTTTCTGAGTGACATAATTTTTAAGAAACAAAAGAAAAACCCGAGGTAGAAACCAAGAACAAGGTACAGTTTTACAGCTGCCACTTTGAGGATTATTCTAAACCTCTCAGGCAGTAAAGCATAGGAATTCAGACTGAGGTGCACATCGTGTTTTAGAAGTAGCTGTAAGTAGCAGCTGGGGTGGGAGGTGTGTTTCTGATCACATTTACAATCCAGCTTCTTTCCTTTGGCAGTTCATTCTGGCTTCTTGGTAGGAACCTCTGAGGCAGGCAGACAGTGTGCTACCACCCTCCAGTGGTTTGCAGAGCACAACGCAAGTGTCATGTTCGGAAAGCTTATTCAGAAAATAAAAAGGGGGATGAGGATATTCCAAGCTTTCTGCTGGGGATACATATTATTACACTTTGGATTTGTTTGGTGACTTGTGTCAGAAGTCTTTTGATTGTTGTTAGATGTTACAAAGTGTTTTAGCACACCTGTTCTATGAAGCCTAATGATATTCCTGCGATTGCTTGCATTTGCAGGACCTTAAACCGTCTGCATCTGTGATGATTTCCAGTCAATGGTGGTACTGCTGCCAGATTAACAAATCTGTGGGTGGTGACAATTGGATGTACAGCAGTGAAGGGATGCTTCCTAGGGGGTTGTGCAAAAACTAGTTTGTCTATCAGTTTAGTGACTCAGTAATTTGCAAATTATTATAAATGTCTCCTCTGGCTGTTAGTCTTCCATTTCTTTCTCTCCTTACAGTCTCTGGAGCACCTTAGGAGTATAAACATGTAAGTTTCCAAAAAAAATTGCATCTGTGTACTTACTTTTCTGTTATTTTTCTGTTCTTGGTGGCATCTTATATTCTGTGCATGGCATGTTACAGTGTCATCAAGCTGATGGTTGCATTTTTCCTAGCTCACTGATGAAGATAACAAAACATGATACAATTTATTTTTGTTTTGCTATCATGAATGTGGAAAGCCATGAGAACTGCATAAACTTCTAAACACAGCAGGGATGAATTTATCAGTGGTTAAGGAGGCATTAAAGCGCTGTGTGACATGAAAGGTAGCACCTGCCAAACTTCCCCATGCAACTTCAGGCTGTATCAAGTCCTGGGCTGTAAAAATTTTCAATACGAGGCTATTGAAAAAGTCCTAAAATAGTGAATTGCACTTTTCTGCTCCAAGACAACATGAATTGCTGGATCATCTACTAACATTACTCATTTAGTACAGAGTGACAGGAGTTACACAGTACTCTCTGTTCAGCCAATCTAAAATATGTGAGTAGGACAGGAAAGTTATGTCAGCTACCACTGAGATCACCAGGAGTACAACACAAAGTTTTTGTTGTATTTCCCCTTCTGAGTTCAGCTCATCACGACTGTAGTTGAGAGAACTGGGACTGCAGCTAGGGCAGGACAAAACCGAAGCACAGCTTTGGGACACACTAAGAGCTGTTAAATGCTCCCATATGAGACAGAGTCTCTCCTTGGACCTTTTTCCTTTCTTGTATCCCAATCTGGGAGTACAAGGTACTCTGCAGTGTCTTCCAGTATCATAACCATGATGGTGGCCTCTTCCAGTCTCTGCCAGCCAGCTTATTTCTGGGGTGGTAATGTGTGTGTGGATAGAATACCCAGGCAGGCAGGCAGGCAGGGTGTCTTGTGGGAGAAGAAAAGGGGCCAGTTAGAGGAAGTAGAGTCCAGTAGGCCTTGGCTTGCTTTCTGGCTAGGTTTGATCATGGGATGTTAGCAAAAAGGCCTGCTTTAGCCCTTTTCTGCTAGCTCCCTCTCCTCATATACTTTCTTGTAAATCTTAGTAGAAGTTTGTGAGCTTGTTCCTTTACTTACCTGTCCTGCTTGTTGGTCATTTGGTTTTGTCTGGTTTTCTTCCACCTGCAAAATGTTTACATTTAGACTCATAGGACCAGCAATTGTCTTTGACTGGGCATTCAGGTCAACACTTTGAGGCTTTTGAGTTTGTTAGAGCATAAAATGGCTACAATGAGACTGCACATATAACTGACAATGAAAATCTTGCACAGAATCTTTTCTCCAATATACCAGAAAGTGTAGCATCACAGTTGAGATGACAGAAAAGTTCTGTTTAAGAACAATTCATTCTTCTTTATATTCAGTGTTGATCTCTTACAAAGCATCCACAGGTAAGTGAGTGGCTAAGGTAAAACCCTTTCTTCCACCTGGACAAAGACAACTCTTTCTTTGGAAAGAGTCTTTTGCAAGACTTGCATTGAACTTTCTCTGCAGAAAGGATGAAAGTCTCCAGGTCAAATGCAGTGTAACCCGATGACTGTAATAATATAAGACTGTGATAATAATGCCTCAGACTTTCTGGCTGGCCACTGAATATTATGTTCATGAACTACAATGAATATAAGGTGTTGAGGTTTTATTAAAAAAAAAATAAAATAATTCTCCTATTTTTTCAGACTGCCATACAAACCCCTGCAAGTTTTCACTCCTAAGTCAATGTATCAGAAATTGAAATGACGTCTCAGCTGATAAATAAACTGATAGCTCTGACTCTTTGTATATTACGTAGGAAATGCTTCCATTTTTCTAAGCAGTTAAGCCTTGTGTTCATTAAGTGTGATCAGCAGGTCAGGAGAGGTGATTCTGCCCCTCTAGTCTGCTCTCATGACACCACACCTGCAGTGCTGCATCCAGCTATGGGGTCCCCAGGACATGCTGGAGTGAGTTCAGAAGAAAGCCACAAAAAAATCATCAGACGTCCTTCCAACTCAAAATATTTTATTATTCGTTAAATTTTGGCAAGGGCTAGGAAAGGTTCTAGAGACTATGTTTTGAGGCAACAGCTCAGGCACATGCAAGCTTCAACTGCCATTAAAAACCGAAATTTGTTTCCTGGTATGTCCTGCTCTAAAACCAGTGGCAGGAAGAAGTATTTCTGAGAGTTATTTCTTGTAGTGACATGGCATTTACCCCCTCAGCTTTACTGCAGCTGTGCTCCTTCGAAACGTGACCTGACAGCAAAAAGTGTTCTGAATAGAATGGCCATATTGGTTCAGGTGAAAGGCTGACCATGTAGCTTAGATGCCATCTCCAACCATAAAGAATTTAGGAAAATTTGTTTTTTTATCAGAAACAACATTTAAAAACAAACAAACAAAGTAAACAGCTGGCAAAACCCAAAACAATACAAAAACCTAAACAAGGAAAACAAAGCTAAACTCGTGCCTTTAAAGTACATGTATGGCACCTCAGTGCTCTGCAGTGGCCAGGGTTTCTGTCCCAGCCTTAAGCCGCTAAAGCTGGGCACTGATCTGAGCACAGCTCTGTCTGGTGTTCCCAGGGCCGCAGGGAGGCGGCACTCGTGTCTCGTGCTTTGTACTGGTTCCCTTCCTCAGACCCTAGTCTCCAATTCCGAGATTATTCATTGGAATTGAGGCATTTTGCTTTTAAATGCCATATTCTTTCATCTGTTTTCAAAGGCAAACGTTTTAGTAGAGAAGGGTTTTGTTTTGAAGAAGTGCTAAAAAAAAAATTATGTCCTCACAAGCAAGATTAGAAAATATTGCCTCAAGAGTTGCACTGTTCAAATGCAGGGAATAGCATTTAATCTTAAAATAGCCTTAAACTAAGATAGGATCTAGTACCATAATTCAGAAACATATGCTTGGAAGATCCTCCTTGTGTTATTGAGGCTGAGTGCTATCATGTACGATTATTTCCACATAATCATCTTTTCAAGTTTATTGAATTTAATCCTCAGAGGGGTTGCATTTCCTGTGCTTTTATGGGAAGACTGTTACATAACTGCGTTCCTCGAATTTTAATAAGTACTACAAACTAATGTTTGGGCTTTTCTTGTCTCATCACCAGAAGCGCAAATTTAAAATAAATATTCATCTTTCTACCTGTTTATTAACATTTTATGGCTGTACTGCAGTGAAATTACTTTAGATATCGTTCACAAGCAGACAGAAATAGAACTCTTCATTCCTCTGAATCTGTGTGAATGAGATGACTGTGAATTTTACAGTGACAATGCACATAGTCCTGTAATGTGTATTACCAAAATAAAAGGATTTGTTAATTTTATTACTGCTTGGGTTTTTGGCAGAAAGAGCCAGAATTGTCTAGTCAGTTTATTGCAAAATTTTACAGGTCTGATTTTTTTAACTCCTTTTTTTAATTATTATTTCAGTGGGAGAAACTACAGATGACAACAAGTGAGAGGAGGAAAATAGTGTGTTCAGTCACATTCCACGTAATTGCAATTACCTGTGTTGTTTGGTCATTGTATGTTTTAATTGATAGAACCGCTGAAGAAATTAAACAAGGCAATGATAATGGTAAGTATCTTTTACTTTCTTTGGTGTTGTTGATAATGCAGTGGCTGGCTTTGCAATATAGCTATATAACCAGTCACACTCTGTTCTTAAATAACAGCTCACAGACAAATGGCTACATCAAATGCTTTAATGCAGAAGTTCTGAATGCATCAGCATTAAAAGCTTATGTTATGCCCCTGCAGAGAGAACTCTACTTTGTTTGATCATTACAAGAGCTTAACTAGCCTGCTGGTTCTTGCTAGGTTAATCTCCTATTATGTAGGTATTTCTAAAGCTCAGGCAAAGCGATGAGTCAAGTTCAAACAGCTCGGTGCAAGTTCAGGTCATTAAAATAGCGATTTATTTATATTACTGCCTTGAACCTTGATAGCAAGTAAAACAGGATAGAGCCTTTTCATTAAGCTTCCTAATATGAAATTCCAAGAGACTGTGTTCCAGCTGTGTTAGTCCTTCATGTGGAACTTAAGAAGCATGGAAAGCCATTCCTGTGTCATTTCAAATAGAATTTCACTGTGAATGTCCATGTTCCAGTTGTGTGCATTGTGAGGATGGTTAAACACTGGAACAGAGAGGTTGTGGAGTCTCCATCTGTGGAGATCCTGAAAACCCAACTGGACATATGTAACAAAATCCATGTTTAGTGTAAGTAGGTTTCTTTTTGGGCCATACTTAGCATATGTGGAAAATATATGATAAACTGAACTACTGTTTTCCATTTCAAGTCTAAGTCTACTTGGTCTTAAATTTAGTCTTAAATGTGATCATGATGACAAAAAACTTTTCAGTTTTGATCTGAACTGACTTAAGGCACAGTAGGGGAACAAAGGTCTCTCTAGCTTTGTTCTATATTCTGAAGTTAACATGGAAAACAAAACAGGTGGAGCTTTGTGCCTTGCTAGTTAGATAAATATTTGATGATACTCTTGATGCTTGCCTTTCTTGCCTATGAGAGGAAAACAAGCAACAAGGCTCAATAAGTCACAGATGAATACATACTACAAAGTCTTGCTTTGCATTCTTTTGAAATGGGTAACCCTGGTTTTTATCTCAAAAAACTGACCCTGAGGACAGTACTAGGAATGGGTTTGAACTTTTATTTATGAGTACATCACCCTACTTATTACAACGGGGAAGCTATTTCTGTGGATTAGCTGAATTTTCATAACAAAAGAGCTAACATGAATTTTTGTTGTTATACACAATGGAAAAGAATCACATTAATTATTCTTGGTAGGCTCAAAAAGTATTTATGATTTGTATAGAATTCAGTGTTTGCCAAATGTAATGGCTGATTTCTTACACTAAGAGATGCCTTGGAGCTACGTGCAAAAATAAGTGTTTGCGAAGAGAATTCTCTTGCCCCAAAATTTGCTTGTCACAGGGGAGTACTTTTACAAAAGCAAACATGTATTTGGGGGGAGAAGGAAGAAACATTTAAGTAGTTTGCTTTCTTCTCCATTTTCTCTCTTTAAATGGGAATTGCTGGGAAAAAGACTGAAGACTGGAGAAAAAACACTTTATAAACATATTTTGAGGAGAAGAAAAACTGAAAGCCCAGAATAGTATTAGTAGTGTTTGTTAATATTCTGTAAGTTTAAAAATCCTGTTTTAAATTAGTACCACAAACTATTTAAAGGCTTGGCGGGGGGGGGGGGGGGTGTTTCTCCTTATGGAAGTATACCGTGCAACTCTCTTAATTGCTGTATTGAGCATTATGCTTACTTTGTGAGTGGCCCTTGCATTTCCTATTTGACCAAATTGTGGTGAAGTCAGAAGTGGGAGGCAGTTTCTTGGCTGGCCTATGGAATAGGAAGCCCCTTCTGTTTTCTACTTGAGCCATAACTGCCCCAATAGTGTGTACATACCTGGGGATTCTTAGCAAGTGGCTTCAGTACATTTGATTGAAATTCAGTGCTTGATATTCAATGTGTAATGGTGGTAATAAATATAGTTTCTATTCCACAGGTGTCCTTGAATGGCCATTTTGGACAAAACTCGTTGTAGTGGCCATTGGATTCACAGGGGGCCTGGTCTTTATGTATGTGCAGTGTAAGGTTTATGTGCAGCTGTGGCGCAGGTTGAAAGCCTACAACAGAGTGATCTTTGTTCAGAACTGCCCAGACACCATCAAAAAACTGGAGGAGAAAAATTCTTTGTGCACTCAGAGCTCAGACATCAAGGATGCGGTGGTGGTGCCAGTAGCACAGACAGGTACAAACTCTCAGTCAGCAGCGGAAGGAACGACATCTGAGGTCATGCCAGTTTGACAGAGACAGCATTGTTTCTTCTTTGCAGTGTAAGGTGTAGTGTATTCTACACTATAAATGCTACAAGAAAGTAGAAATGACTTTGCATTTTTTTCAGTTAAAAACCCAACCAAACAAAAAAACATCAACAAAAAAATCCCATATGAAAACCAAAACCCTACGAGGAAACTGGATCCAGCAAAGCAACTTGTTACTGTATGGAATGTGACCGTTCGTGGAGTAGTTTCGCAACTAGTCAGCAAGTGTAGTGAAAGTGGAAGTGTAGAAAGTGCAATAGAGAAAGGTTTAACAGACAATGCCAAACCAATGTGACAAAAGTACTTTTTTTTTTTTTCAACTGGGATGGATGGGAAAGTAGAAACAGACCTGATATAATAACTTTGTTTACAGAGAACCAAAACCTTTAATCTGTTTACTACTAAAAGCTGTATTTGCTATTTATCTTTTTAAATATATGCTTCAAAGAGTACCAATCCAATCATATGCATTAACAAATCCAAGTATAGAGAGCTCTATCACAGCACTCACTCTCTAAGCTTCATATGGTAACGCACGTCCATGTGACTGTAGCGGAGCCTGAATACTTGGGCAGCTGTGTCAACTAAGGATATTTTAACTGTGCCTGTATTTTTGAAAAGTAAGCAATTCCAACCAGTATAAGCTCATGTTTCCATAAGCTTACAGGTATATTTTTAAATACAGCTGTCAGCAACATAAGTACAGGGAGAAGACAATATGTAGATATGCATTTAAAAGAGCAGCTCTGCTGTTTATTTTACTAATAAGAGCGAATTAGACATAAATTTGATATGCAAAGTATTGAGGCAGAATTGTAAATGAAAAAAAAGCAGTTTACTGCACGATCACACAAAAGTAAATTGGCTATTATCAAAGGTCTGAAAAAGGATGACACATACTGAAGATGGAAACCATTTCTGGTTTTATTTTTTAAGATTCACAATACAGAAAGGTAGATGTAAGAGAACATACCTACCTACATATCTTAAGAAAATATTAGTTTTTATCTCCTTTTTCTGAAAAGTTAGTTTTTATCTTCCTGGCTGAAAAAACGAATCAATGGTTTCCTTCTGTACAGTTAAACTTGAGGTGTTAGAGGTTCAACAGTTCATTTGTTAACTTCGTGTTTTGAGCATTGTCATATAAAAATGAAGTGTGAATAGCATTAAAAGGTGCAATAGATAAATGAATGTAGATATAATACTCTGTCCAACAGGGTGAATTATATATAAAGAACCAATTTTGTGATTCACTTTGCATACCTGTGGTGTTTACCATCAGGATGCAAGTGCAAGTATTGACTTGGAGTAGTTATGTACTGGTGTGGACAAGTCTGGGGCCTGAACATTATGTATATTTTAAAAAAAAGTTAAAAGTTTTGGGTTTTTTTAATCTTGTATTTAGGTAAAGGAGGAAAAGCAAACAAGCAGATAAAGAACCAGAGTAAAGAGGATAGGAGAGCACAAGTTCTTTCAAAGGGGGGTATCTGCCACAATTACAAGTAAACTAGAGTTCTACAGAAGGCTTGAAGTTTCTAATGGTAAATTTTCTATTTATATACTCAAGTATTTACAATGAAAAAGCAGAATCATCCCGTTCTTGCAAATATCCAGCATGCTGGGCCTAAGATGTACTGGAGTTTTGATACTAGGTATTCCTTTGTTTACTGGCTTAAGGCTCAGGGAATACTGGAAGTAGCAGTATTAGCAAGAAATGTGTCTTTAATCAGATCATTATGTTCTTTTGTATTGCAATTGCTCATGTAATTTGGCTGTAACTGAGTGACTGTCATCTGGCTAGACAGGACACAAAATCTTGGTGCTTGAATGGATCCTAAACAGATGTCAGTATTTGCTGTAAGTTACTCCAGGTGAGTTGGATCAATGTTTAAGGTTTTTTAGGTAATGACACACAATTTTTATATAAAATAACTTCCCAATTATACAACTGCAGATCACAATTGTAGCAGTTTCTCCTTTGAAATGACATACAAGAGAAACCAAACCATTTCTCCATTTAAAATTGTGGAGGAGACTTCAGAAGGTCTCCAGAGAACGACAATGGTACGAACAAATGCCTCATAACTGCACATGTTTAAGACAGTCTGCATTGACATGGTTTACAAAAAGTGTAAAAGCTACTTGCTAAAAGGTAAATCTCATGATATCTGAAGTCAGATACTTAAAATTACTAACTGCATTTGAATGTGTGGAAGGATGTTTACAAATAAACCTGATGAATCATAGCAAAATTTGCTGACAACATTGTTATGAAGGATAATTAAGAGCTTTCTGAAATAATAGTTTCTTACTCAGTAACAGTAACCCAGCTTGTTCTTTGACCCCACTGAAAGTACTTTATCCCTATTTTGCCAGTTTAAAGGAGACTAATTCACATTAGGGTTTCTTACTTGAACAGGTATAAAATTTAACTCAAAGAAGAAAATACCTGAGGCTTCCAAAAGCAGAATGGTAGCATCCAACAAAATTATTGTAGATTTTTAAAAACACACTGAAGAGTCACCAACAGAACAAACAGTGTGCAAAATTTTATAGTAATGCCTTCCCCTTCAAAACACTGTTTTGGCATTCAACTATATTTGCAACTGAGTTTACAGTGAAATAAATAAAAGAATGGAGGAAGACTTCAGTTGAAATTCCTCCTCTCCCTTTGAAATACTTCATGTGGACAGCAGGAAAAGAGCAAAATGGGATACTTTGCTGAGATGGACAATGAGCCAAGGCATCAGCAAGAGAGGTTTCAGCAGGCTTGAAGCAGTCTTTAACCTTTTAAAGTATTACAGTATTAGCTCGTGCATCCCATTCTCTTCTTATGTGCACTGCAAATTCTAGAGCTTTCAGGGATTTCATGCAGGATTGCATTTGTTTCAGAACCTCTTCAAGAGGGCAAGGAGCTATTCATGCCGCTATGCTTTGGATTCAGGTCTTCATTAATAAGGAAAGTGCACAAATACAGACACTAGACTGCTTATCAACCAGCAGTTTTTCATTCCCACACAAAGTACAGTTTTCTGTATTAATTTAATAACCATGGGATTCTATCTTAAAAACAAAACAAACCCAACCCCCCCCCAAAAAAAAAAAAAAAACAGTATACTGAAGATTTTTAAGATCCAGACTAAGACTTTGTAATAAAGATGACATCTCAAATAAAGAACCATATCAAACTGCCTGTGTAGCCACAGTACATCTCAGGCAAATAAGCCGACAGTGGAATCTGGCCTGGCTAAACCCACAAGGGCAGAACCCTGCTCTGAGCTGCCATTACCAAGTAGAGCTTAATCTGCATTCTTGTTTAAATGAAGTTTTAATGAAGGTAGACAGAAATAATCTGATGTCAGGTCAGATCTGGAAGTTTAAACAAGATACTCCTAGCCTGTGAACATGCACATTTCTGTTCCTAAGTTACAAGCATTAAAAAGTTTATTTCAAACTGGCATAAACATACCACTTTTGACTATCATTAGCATTACAAAGATTCTCAACTAGTCCAACTGTGCCATTCACACACTGTTCTATCTGAAGGCAGTGTTTATTTTTGTTGTGTAGAAAAAATAGTAATTCCCCATCACCAGAGCAGTTTTTAATTTCTAATAATGCAATGAAACTCTATGATGAAAATATTTTACTCTGTATAATATTCGGAACTACAAGTTTGTGTTACTTGTTTAACTCCCTCTCTTTTGCAAAAGAAAATGTGTATGTTTTTGTGGGTGAATGTGTACTGAAAGACAGAAGGCAAGGGAAACAAAAGTAATGTATCTGCTTATTGTTGTGAAAAAAATGTATTTGTATTAAACAAATGACTCAAATTACTGTAGTATTCTACACTTGTCACTTTGTTATATAAAGCATCACATGCTGAACATGAATTGGCAAGACCACACTCTTGTAAGAAAGGTTAACAATATACTCAGCTGCATACTTCATACTGATAAACCTTGCTAACTACCAGGGCCTAGTTTTGGGTACCATGGCTAGGCAGAATGCTCAGGAAAATACCTCATGGTACAAAAACACTTGAAAAGAACTATGGTTGCTCAACTTGCAGGCATCAACTCTATAAATAACCCCCTGAAAGCAAATGGTTTTACATCCATAGCATAATGGACAACTAGTACTGGGTTTCAACTCCAGAAGGGTAAGAGGAACACAGCTTCCTAAGGAAAACAGTGCTTTGGAATGAACTGTTTGTTATAGTGATTTTGGAATGTCCAACACCAGAAACCTTTGAAGATGGGCTGGACAGTTAAAATACTTTAAAGTTAATCCCACCTCAGACTGTCAGAATGGATCTTGTTCCCTTTTTTATCATTTTAGACTTTAGATTTTCTCCTTTTCCAAAAATGTTAAAGATTTTTTTTTTTAATGAAAGAAATATTACATGTTTGCATTATAAAAAAGCCTGTGTACTTTGTCAGGTGTTATACCAAAGTAAGTATCCTACCTACAGAGTGTTCCAACCAAGGTGCAAATTTAGCTTTCTACAGAGGGTTGTATCCATCTATCCCATATCTTTCTCCTGGATGGTCAGCTGGGGAGAGAGTGGGCCATTTTGAAACATCACAATTTTAGCTGGAATAAGTCATCATATGGCTGATGACTGGTAGTAAGAGAACAGAGGTTCTCTTACTATGCCTTTTTGCTCTGCATCAATTGCTTGATGAAGGGTACCATTAGAATAAAACCACATTTCTGTTTAGTTTGATGTCTGTAAACACATAAGCAAGGAAACATGCTATGTGGTATTTACGTACACCAAACCACACACACCCCCCCCCCGCCCCAAAACCCCAGCCAACAAAATATTGAAGCTGTTTTGCATGAGCTCTCCTAAAAGTCAAAGAAATTGTAAGTTAACAAAGAACTTGCCAAAAGTACTTTGACTGGTGTACCACATTTTCACTGTCTATGAAACAGAGCTCAGAAAATAACCTTAAATGAGAACAGAATGATTCCAGTCTGTTGGAGAGTGTGGGCCTGGGGACAAACTTGCCCTTCTATTACTTGCAAATACTTATAACTGATGCTCACTGAATCACAGAACTTCCCTTTTTTTTTTTTTT